AAGCTACCCGTGCTTGGTGGTGTTACCTAGCGTTATCTTACATGAAAGGAACTAAGAACCTTTCTCATTTTAAGCTTAATGGAAAGAGAATTATCATGGCTACAAACATTTCCACTGCTTTGTCGTACTAGACACAAGAACTCACAATTTTTTTATTGCCTGGTTCATTCCTGGCTTTGCACAAAGAATCGCCGAAATATTCTCCTTCTTGATTCATAACAGGTTTAATGTGTCTAGGAAAAGAGTTGTAGAATGATAGGTCTTCATGTTTTGCTTATTACTCGGAACATTTATGGGTTTCCCTTTCTTCGACCATTTATATTCTAAGAAAGTTTTTAAATGTTTCATCTGTTCAATTATTCTAAAATCATTCTTAAATACTTGCTTTGGTCTAGGTGCTTGTGTGGAATCAGCATCAAAGTAATCAACGCAGCACATTTAACTAATTTAATGATTTTAAATCAATGACTGCCTCTTGATTACGTAATTTACATGTTGTAATTAATATGCATTTGATTCAATGCTAAAAAAGTTGATTTTATGTTCCTTTTTGCTAGTTGATAAAATTATCTTGCAGGGCAAGAAGGGTGCATGGATCAAACTACCAATTGAGCTTGCTAATCTTGTTGAAATTGCAGTCAAGGTAAAATGTTTTGGTCCTTATATCTGTGATATTTTAAGGTCATCGTCATATCCACATTTCATGACTTTATCTAGAATTTCCTCACCATTAAAGTATCTTGTAGTTTAATATTGTTAGAGCAGAGCATGTCAACCGGAGAGTACTTATAGGCATATATATATTTGTATTGTATGTGTCTCGTGTTGGGTCTATAGATTCAATGATGTTTCCTTTGCTTGAAACACGAGACATTTTCATATGGATAATGTGATTTACTGGTAATGATTCATTATATGATAAAAATCAAACCTAACACACATAGAAGCGGTGTGAATGGTAGGTTTGTGATTTTGTTTTGTAGTTTTATCAGCTAAGTTGGATAATTTATTATATTTGACGCCTGGATTCAGTCAGATAGTGGCTGTGCTTTTTCAGGAAGGATTTTGGTATCATCATGCAGAGCCTCGGTACTTGATGCTTGCATACTGGATTCCTGAAACTAAGAATGCTATCCCTGCAAATGCTACACACCAAGTCCGTATTGGTGCTATTGTCATGAATGATAAAAGAGAGGTATTTTGAAGTTTTTGTAATCGAGAACCTATGGCCTTTTCTCATTCCATTTTTGTTGATGTTTGGCATATATATTTTTTTCCATGTTTTCATCACCAGCATATTCACAACTCTTATTTTGGATATAATTTTCTTTACAAGAACTATATTTATCTTTAGTTATTTGAAATTCACTGTGAAACTTTATGCTTCAGTGTGCTGAATAAAATTTATCGAATAATTGTAGCAATATTTTCTAGAATTTATGTTTAGAGTTTGCCACTTTTCTTTTACAGTTGCTAGTTGTACGGGAAAAGCTCGGCAATTTTTGCGGAACAGGTATTTGGAAAATCCCTACCGGTATTCTTGAAGAGGTATACATGTTGCCAGAAGTTTAAGTTCCAACATGAAGTCTTGTATCCTCTTTAACCAGTGTGTTGAACTCTTCCGTCCGCAGGGCGAGGATATTTTTGCAGGTGCAACGAGAGAAGTAAAAGAAGAAACAGGAGTAAGTATTGAGTATTCACTGTTTAGGTATAAACAAATATATATATAATTTACCCTTTCCAAGGATTTTAGTCTAGTATTTTGAGAGAAGTGGATATCTATTGTTGCAGATCAATACAGAATTTGTTGATGTGATAGCATTCAGGTACAAGTTATTAGTTAAATATGACTAAAGGTCTATTTGATATGACTTTTAATTTTACTTTTATTTCCGTAGAAAAGTTAATTTTTGTTTGGAAACTAATTTCTAAAAAAGCTTCCTATTTCGGAAGTGTTTTTAGAGGACGTTACATTGCACAGCTTCCTCTAAAAGATCTTTTAAATAAAATAAGCACTTTCATAAAATTAATCAAACGGGTCCAAAAGTAGCTTTTGACTTCTCAAAGAGTGGTTATATTGCCACGGATATTTTTTGTTTGATACCACACTTCTAAACATTTTTCTTAATTATTATGGTAACTAAAATTAAGGGGTGTGTTTGAGTCACATTATTTTGGAAAAATGTATTTTGGAACAGTAGATTGATGGAAAATGTGCAGTTGAAAAAGAAGAAAAAGTTATTGATGGGATGAAAAATATTATTTTATTGAAGAATGTGTTATTGAAAATGAGTAGAAGAATGAAAATGAAATTTTTAATGTGGCTCAAACAGGGGCTAAAATGACATAAATAACCCAAACTCATAAATTCGTATTGTGTTGTTTTCTCTCTTTTAGTTTTTAAGCACACCACAATATACATATAAAAACCCTAAACCTAATTTTATTTCTCAGCACGCAATAAAAAATAAACCGAAATTTACATTTTGAAATTCTTGCCTTGTGTATGCAGTATATATAAATGTGAAAGAGAGTGGAAATCTTAATTTCTTGTTTCGATTTGTAAAAAAATGTATCTACTTTCCGCCCTCCCTTGCATTTAATTGATTTCCTTTTTTTCTTCCCTCTCTCTTTCTATCTCCTTTTATGAATATCTTTCTTGGCCTACCAATGCACCATATAATACAGATTTTCCTTTTCCAATTTGGAATGGATTCCATGACATGAAATTGCATGAAGAAATGTAGTGAGAGAAAATATAAGTATGATTGAGGGAGAGGCGTACCTATTATTTTGTTTTTAATGGTAAGGTCATATTTGTAAAGTTAATGTGATGTATTTATCAAAATCATATTTTAAGTAGCGTGTAGATATAAAGTGGTGTCAAATAAAAATAGTGGTGGTAATATATTTATCCCTCTCAAAAGCCGTACCAAACAGGCCCTAAATATTTTCTTCCAATCTGAATTCTTCTCCTAATTATACGTGGAGGTTATAAGATTCTTCACATATTCAAAGTCTTAGTTTTTCACTTGTTCATTTGAAAATTACTTTGCTTTTGGCATTCCTTATTAAGGCTTGATAAATCCTACAAACTATTTGTTATTTCAGTCTTTTAAAAGTTACGAGAGATGAGGCAAATATCGTTTAAGGACAACGATATATTCTTGTGTTCATCATCTTCTTCCTTTATTTTCTCCATTGCTGTATTTTTTTATGACATAGAATTGAAGTCTCGTGTTCATAATAGTGGCACAATTCATGTAGCTTCATCTATATATTTCCATTGACTGAACACTTCAGTTTATTTTTGTTCGGAGTTGGAGATGGGAAAAGTGCTTTAGATATTGTAAGAATTTCAAGATTCATTTCAGTCATTGTTTCGATTGATAGGCAGATGCACAAGTACTTCTTCGGCAAGTCAGACTTGTGCTTTTTGTGCATGCTACAACCAGTATCCTTTGACATCCATAAGCAAGACTCAGAAATAGAGGAAGCTCAGGTATCTTCGATTTCTATATGACATGAATTGTCTTCTCTTGGACAGATTACAAAATCGAGTGCCAACAATTTTTATCATTTGGTTGCTACCTAGTGGATGCCATTTGAGGAATATGCAGATCAACCTCTTGTCGAAAATCACTGTATTTTCAAGCATGTCAAGGATATATGTTTAGCAAAGATAAAGAATGGCTATGCTGGATGGACTCCACTGCCCGCAACTTCTTTATTCAATGATCAGATAAGCTATATTTACAAGAACCAGGAGGGTCTGAAGCTATAGAATTTTATTTGGGCCATGAATTCATGTGACCTCCTTAAAACAAATTTGTTCTCTCTAATTATTTGTAGAATTTATTTTCGTTTGTATAGAGCAATTTCCACCTCAGTTACATCTAACTTACACGCAAAGCCCATTGGCTGGCATTACCCAAGCCCTTGCCCAAAAGAGCAGAGCCAACCAGAGCACGTGATTTACAGAGATTCCACGTGAATGAAGTAACGTTCTTCTCCATTAAAGCTTTTTATTCGAGACAGCAAATTAATTGTGTTGCTTAGCTTATCGATAACGCTTTTCCAATTAAAGGTCGGTCAACCTTGAGCAAAACTAGGAGCCAACGCCAACATTTTTTACTGGACCATGCAAATCCAACTCGTCTCTTCAGTTTTATTTCAATCAAAATTTAATTAATTTAGATTCTTTGAATTAAAAACCATTGTTTCTTTAGAATAATTGTCACTATTGTTGCTTGAAAAAAAAAATCCAACTTAAAAAGATTTATGAAAAGTATACAATTTGCAATTATTTCGAAGTATTGAATCAGGCTGTGAACATCTTGTCTAGTTAAACTAGTTAGTTCCACGCGATAAACTTCTATTCGATCCCTTGCGTAGCCGGTATAAAATTTGAATTTTGTTGAAATGCCCGAAAATTTGACATAGGGGTTGATCGACCCTCACATTTTTGCATGGGTCCCGCCTGAATTGAAAAATGTCAATCCTTCCATGTGTGAATTCAGTCGTCCTCTGCGTTCGTGTAGCATAGTTCATAAAATTTAGAATCTAGAATCGTGCTTTTTTTTTTTTCCCATCATTTCACCTTACCTATGCATATACTGATTAATATATGTAGCATGATTGTTTAGATGTATAATGAGATCAGATTTTTGACCATCATTCACTAGTCAGAAAAACAATATATATGTGACTCTTCAGTGTGAGTAAAATTGAAATATCAAGAATAATTCTAGCTGTAAAATAAATGAAATTTTATTATTTTTTCTATTAATTGATTATCAAATAGTATTCAGTCCAATATAAGAAATTAATTACTCAAAATAACACCAAGACGGTCCATAAATCTTCTCACCAACATGACCACCAATTAAATAAAAATAAAAAAAAAGACAACTGGGCTAACTTATTTCACAAGGGAATAAAAAGAGAAAATATACCCAAAATAGACTCAAAAAGGAAAGAAAAAAATAAAATGGAATAAATTACAGCTGTAAAAATACAAACCAGATAGTCAAAATTACAGCCACAAATCTTCCTCCATTATATCCAACGGATCCGTTACCGTCCGCAGTCTGATCCGCTGCATCCCCATCTGGTGCATCCGCCGGCGAGTCAGATGGAGCAGCCGGCGCCGGTGGGGACTTGTGCTTCTTCTTGGATGGCGCAGGAGCGTCAGCATCGGCCTCAGGAGCTGGTGCTGGAGCTGGCGTCGGAGCTAACTTGAACAACTCCTCCGGCAATAGAACCTTATTCAGCGAAAAAATGGCCAACGGCTGCTCATCGATTATAGTATCGATGATTTTCGCAGTAACGAGCTTCGTCTTCAAGGTTACTTCAGTTCCATCATTCTGTACGGTGAAATCATATTTACTGGCACCATCAGTGGCCAGTGAGTTGGTGAGGCCGTTACTAGATTTTAAACCTGACAGTGACTGGTAAACCGGCATTCCGTGAAATTCTAGCAGATCTTGCTTCCCTGCAGCAGTTAAATTCTTGTATTTAGGTAAAAAGTTCTTCATGGCATCATCTCCAGGGCAGAAAATGGTTAATCCACCGTCAACAGCATCCTCATATGTCTTTTCAGCAGGATTAGCTAGGAGAGTTTCAGCGAAGACTTTGCAGCCGTGAGAAGACATTATAGCTGTGAGATTTTGCTGGCTGGGGGCTGGAGTAGGCGCCTCAACCTCGTAAGAAGGCAATATGTTGGAGATCTGAATGACAGAGATGTTATAGGGGATTGCTTGGACTGATTTGACGAAGGTAGCATGTATGACGCCGCTGCTGTCCTTGGGGGAGAAGCCAACTTTTCCTCCCTTCATATCGGTAATGTTGACGAAGCCGGAGGATCCAGCGGCTGAACCGGTGGCCTGGTACATAGTGGCGGCGAGTGCAGTGCCATTGGTGATCTGGTGGAGCTTCTTGGCGTCGAAGTAGTCGAGGAGCACGTGAAGGGACAACACGTTCTTGATGCCGCTGATAGGGAGGTGTTTGGCTAGTAGATCCGACATTCCGGAATTGTCCACCGCGCACACGGTGATTGTTTCCCGGTTGTTTATATCCTCCGCCAGGTGGGTCTCGGTTAAGTAGTGGTTGAAGGTTGAGAACTCAGGGAACTTAGCTAGGATGCTGGTGATATTGTGGGCATCGGAAGTGGCGGAGAAGAATAGAACAACGACCGCCACAATGGCGGCGAGGCGGAGCTGCATTCTGGTCACAAAAACAGTTTTTTCGTGGAGGCAGTGGAAAGGGTTCTGTGTTTTTGCTATACAGATAAAACTGAGTGAAGATGAAACTGAAGGAAGGAGGAGAAATTTAGTCTGTGTGTTTATAGAAATGACTTGAGAATCTGAGCATATTACTGATAATGCCACTGGGTGGTTTCCAATTAATAATTAATTGGCCGTGTCACTATCAACGATGTTGATATTATTTTTGGATCTAGTATTGTAATTTCGTTTGATTAAAGACATTAACGTTTGTGCTTTACTTCAAATATTTTTTGGACGTGCTTGTCGGCTCGATATTGATTTTTAAGAAAAAGATTTTTGTGAAAAGTTATTTTTTAAAAAAATTTGTAATGAAAAAATTATGAGTTCACGTGTAAAATTATTTTATTATGAAAATGTACAATTAAAAATAAATTGAAGAAAAAATCAAAATTTTAATAGATTTTAAAAAAAATCGATACAATGTGTGTGTGGTTGAAAAATCGTGAATGATCAGATATGTGATATTTTAATCTTAATTTTAATCAAATTTTTAACTGAACCAAAATTTTAACTGAAATGCATAAAGAGCTCGGAGATGGAGAGAAAAAGCTGGATTGGAAACAGCTAACGTGGGTTAAGCAGAAAATGATGCAAAAGCAAGACAACAAACGAAAGAAAAGAATACAATACCAAATAACATAAAACAAGTATATTTATATATAATAATATATTCTCTCTTCGCCTCATTTTTCTCCTAATTGATTCTACAATGGGCGTGAATTGTGAGTGAGCTGTTCAGTGGGACCCACCCTCATTCAATTTCTTAGGCTACATACAAACATTAGCCAGCTGGCATTTAAAAATTAGCAATTGGTTGCATCCACCGACGAATTAGTACACGAAAAGCTCGTTTGATAGCAAGAGGGAAGTTTGAGTTTTAAAAAATGAATTTCAGAAAATTGAATTGTTTAGAATTATTTTTCTTTTTCTGAAAATTGTCAATTAATTGTGTTTGATTAATATAATTTTCTACGTGAAAAATATTGAATTTTTAAATCTTTTGATATTCGTTTAACTTTGTTTTACATGTAAATTATCTATTAAAGGGAAAAAAAGTTTACAATTGAAAATATAAGTTTTTTTCGTTGCAAAGGCTAAAAAACCAAAAACCACAAAAACCATAGGAAAACAAATTCAAGGAAAATGTGGAAAATAGTATCACGTGAGGTGAAGTTGGAAAAGGAAATTGTCTAGAAAATTTTGGCTATCAAACAATCAAAAATGTGAAAAATGGAAAATAATTTCCAACTTCCATCAAAAATTCTACACATCAAACACGGCACAAAAATGTGAAAAATTGAAAATAATTTCCAACTTCCATCAAATATTCTACTCATCATACACGGCCGAATATTATTCTTTTCTCAATTCTCGACCTACAAAACATGGGTTCGCGGTAGACAATTTTCGTAGAACGATACTAAAAAATTGCTTTAAGTTAATCTTAGTTCGATTCGTTTTATTACAGTCAAATTCGTGTGAAATGTCTAAATAGGAGAGTAAAAATAAGTACAGGGAGTGAAAACTACACGACAGATAAAACTTTTTTTTTTACTGTAATTAGTGCTATTTGTGACAATATCCCTAATTGGATAATTGATGGTTGAGCTTCGAGGCCCAATATGAGCACACCAAGCGTAGTCCATGAGGGAATTTCTCCCCAGGCCCTAAAGATAAGGGAGAAATATCAAGTGCAGAACCTCACAGGCAAAATATAAAGAAACTCGAATCACAATGCTCGGAGAAGATCATGAAATCTGATGCAATGATATGAAATTCATGAAGGAAGTTCTGGGTTTTTAATGATTTCATGGATGGATGTGTCACAAATAAAAAACAATTCATTTGTTTTTGCCATACAACAAAAATATCAAAACCAAGATTTCTAATGTTTCTCAGCCACCCAAAAGGGAAAAAAAAAAAACGAATAGAGGTTCTCTTAGGCCCTGTTTGATTGCAACGAATTCCATGAAAAATGTCACATCCAAAGAAAACGAATTCCACTTTGACCGTTTAATTGCAATGTGAAAATAAAAACCGAATTCCAAGGTACAATCACTTTAGATTACATTTTCTTTATTTTTACGGAAAACGAATTCCTATAGATTTAGTGATTTTTTATTTTCCAACTAGGAATTGAAACGGACCCTAGAACAACTCCAACATCAAGGGAGAAGATATGGTTCAACTACTATGTTTATCGGCATATCTCTTTCCAAACTACTACTTCAAGAAGTGATCCAATAATAAAAACCGCGCCCTCACTTTCACACTTGGGAAACTATCTATGTTGTACCACTTAAGGCCCTGTTTGTTTCGTATTAAAATTAGATTTTAATCTAAGTCAAAGTCAAACAATTAATATTAACCACATCTTTCATGGTCTCACAGCTTTTCAACCACACATTTCAAAAACTTCTATCACAACCTACTAAAAATATAATTTTAATCTCCACCAAACACCCACTAAGTATAACCTCAATCAGTTGTGAAGCACGAAATGACTGGCAGAGAACTTTGGTACTTAATAACTAGTTTTACATTTCTATTGTGCAATTCCAACCTTTAAAAAAAAAAAAAAAAATTAAACGACTCTTGGTGGCATGTTTTATTAATAACCAAATCAAAACATAATACAGACTTGGGAGGGGGCTTGGCTTGACCTCGTGCTGAATGTGTATTAAAAACAAGAGTTCTGCTACGTGTATCTCCGGGGTTGTCGGCCCCCTCACCAAATGTAGAAACAGCAAAGAGAAATGCTGCACTTACATACTTTTTACACGTACATTTTTACAGCCCTCTCACATGGGGGGTGGGGCCCACAATAGCAGGTCTCACTCCCATGTGAGAGGGCTGTCGAACTTACTGTGTAAACAGGCTATACATTCAGCCTTTTTCAACAGCAAAACACTAAAAACAATTGCCATTACATCAGCAAACTAAATCCAAAACCGAGAACTGCTTCACTCATAGTCGAATGGCTCAACCCACAATAAGTTCCAAATGTTCACTCTTTCAGAGCCACTGTCAAGAGCATGTAAGCATCCATATGCAGAGATGCTCAAAGTACATTTACAGACTAGAACAAGCTTCGGACACTCGAAAACCAAACAAAGGTAAGAGCCCAAAGACAGATTTAACGCATGTTGAACATTTAACTTAAATAATTTAAACACAATCAATCAACTGTATCATCAAAAAACCTGGGATAACATCAAATAATCTGTTATGTCTGAATTCCGCAAAATGATCATCTCAATCTACTTCCCTTGTCTAGAATACAGAACTAGACTCAAATTTTCATGCCTTGACAAACTACTACTTCAAACTTATTAAAATCACAGTTAAAGAACTTGCCTATCAGCAGCATCAGCAACAAGGGGCAATCTGGGGATTTGACCTAACAAACAAGAGGATGAGCCATAAATCAAGCACACCAAGAGGAACAAGAACACAGTATTATCCAAGCTCATCATCAATTCCAAGCCCACTCCATCTCTTGGATTGAAAGTTCTCTCCAAGAGATCAGGGAAAATCAAGAGCACATCAAGAACAATAGCCTGCATAGTATTGAACCTCACATACCTACTGAAATTGCGGTTCCTCACAACAACGAAATAAAGGGTCAAGAAAACCAAAAACCCACTAAAAGGGAAGCTTTTGAAAACCTTAATTGCTGGGAATAAGGGTTGAAGAACTGTCTGAAAGGGACTGAACTGTGTAATGACATATTTTCCATACTGTATGCCATCAAACAAGGGGTAAAAGTAAGTAATGGCTGAGATTAAGCGGTCAGGGGCATCAGCTGAATTGCTGCCTTTGGATTGGGCGGTGAGGATGGACCTTCTTGAAATTCTTGGTTTTCTTGAGGGCAAAGTAGGAAAGTGAAGAAAAGGGGGTGATGATGGTGAGTAGCTGAGTCTATCTACTGATGAAGAAGAGAAAGTGCAGAGGAGTTGCTTGTGAGATACTAGTGAAGTGGTGAATAGAAGATTATTCATGGCCATCCTAGTTCAATGGAAAGTGTCAGTGAGGAAGATGGACGAGAAAATCTTGAGAGGTGATTTGCTGTAAATTGTAGAATCGCAAAAGCTTAAAGATGCCAAAGTACTGTTAATTTCAATAATGACCACTGAACTTTACACTTAGTATCATCTTAGTCATTAAAATTTAATTTATTTCAACTCATCTTGAACTTACAAAATTTTACCTTCAAAAATAAGTTCAGTCTGGTGCCTAATTTTAACTGAACATTCTTACTTGTTTGTGTGCCATTTTAACTAACGGATTGATAGTTTGAAACACACATATGTAGAATTTTCAGTTAAAAGATAACTAAAGCAATAGTCAAATGAAATGTGAAGTTCAATGATTGAGTCTGAGTCAAATCAAATCACAGCTTAGTCGTTAAGATTACACTTGGCTTGTCAAGTCACACATGCCGACTCGTGTCACAGGCCATTTTCTGCCCATGATGAACTGAGCTTGAAAAAAATAAAATTAAAAAGCTGCTTGTCGCAACTATTTTTGTTGCTTGTTATCTAAAAAAAGAATTAAATAAATAAATTAAATTAAAAAATCTAGCCTAGGCTGCCTGTTATTAAAAAAATTGTGAGCCCATTCGATTTGGCTCGGCTCGGGCCAAAACAAGACCAAATCATTTTACTTTAGTAGAGCCCAAGTCTCGAGTTTCGACTCGTCTAGTGGACATTCCCATTTATACTTTGTGCATTTTTTACTTTTTCTTGCTACTTTGTCCAAGATAGGTCCAATTTAAGGACAATCCAAGATGGGCCCAATTCTTGAACAAGCCCAAATTCATCATTTTCCCAAATGGAAAAATGCCAAGTCCCCTATAAATTCGGATAAAATCAAGTGTACAGATGATTTCTTGCCAGAATTTTTTCATATGCTGCGTTGGGAGCGTTGGTCAAGCTTTTTTCGAGTTTCATCTTCCATTTTACCTCCCCCACAAAATGCGAGGTGCTTGAGGGATAGTCCTCGGGGACGCAGAGCTTTGAAGTTAGGGAGGACATAATCAAACTTACAAAGAAGTTGAGAGAATTTTTACAATAAAAAATTTAAGTTCAAACATACCCTAATTTTGTATCCAAAAAATTACATAAGATATAACTTTTTCGGATGTAAAATTTCGAAAATTTTTTATGTTATATAAAATTTTCTAATAAAATGATGAAAATTTCATTGGAATTTGAAAAATGCGAGTTAGACCTTTTTTTTAAGACTCGCGTTTATTTTTAACTATTTTCGATATCTGTTTGGACTATTCGATATGCCCACATAATCTCGAAATAAGTTTTGAGATAAAGATACAATTTGTAGATTCGATTAGCGTAAATCGTCGAAATTTTTTTAAAATTAGCATGTTATCAAAATTTAAATTTATTGTGATTTGCCTATGTTTGGTGGAGATTAAAATCAAATTTTTAGTAAATTTTGAGTCTGCCAGTATATAGTCCTCCTTGTACAAAATTATACAATAAAAAAATCATCCGTCCTAATAAAAAAATCAATGTAATTTGTAAAATGTGGAGAAAAGTGCGTACAAATAATACAATACAGATTTTTTTATTTCATAAATAAATAAAAAAATAATAAGAATAGATATGAATAACAGAATAAGGCCATGAAAAAAAAAAGTACGTTCCCATTTAGATTGCTAAACAGGCCCAAAGAGCAAGACCAGTCAGAATAACCGAAGCCTTGTATACGGAATTTGAACCTGAATCGTCATCCGCCACTGGGCCCTGTGCAATTTCCGGCGCCGGACTTGGTTCACTTCTGCTTGATGGGAACATTTCTGGTGCTTCTGATGGTGTTGCAGAACTTGAAGGAACGCTGGCAGATGCTGGGCTCGTGGCGGTCGCTGGAGAAGTTTCCGGAGTTGAGGGCAATGGAGATGAAACTGGAGGAGAGACTGCCGGAGTGCTCACTGGGGTTGGGGTCCCCGTTGTAGGCGGAGACGCCGGAGGTGGGACAGGAACAGAAATGCCGGCTGACGGAGTGGGCGACGGAGAAAAAGTGGACGGCGTTGGAGACTGTAACGGCGACGCAGACGGGCTGGTTTTAGGAGAACTAACCGGCACTGCCGGAGAAACTTTTGAAGGCGGTGAAAGCACCGGAGAATTTGCTGGGGACGCATGAGGGCTTCCCGGAATAGGCGACGGAGAATTGGCCTGCGGAGTATGTTTTTTTGTGGGCGCATTGGTTGGCGCCGGAGAAGGCGCATTAGGGCTCTGTGCATTGCCGGAATATTGCACACACAACACTAGAAAGGCGATGAGAAATAACCTGCACATTTTTTGCAGTATAACAAAACCTAGCGTGTAGGGATTATTCCGTGATGTACAAATAAATGCTAAAGATTTTCCGATATCGTTCGCCGGTGAACATGGCTGGCATATATATTTCTCTATATATAGGGAATAATTAAACTTAAACGTTGCATTAAGGACAGTTGAACGGCAATACGACCGTTGGTATTTGTGGGACCCTTTGTCATGTAATGTTACCGTTGCTGGAAGAGAGGAAATTCCTCTAAATGCGTGTATATTTTGGCACTTCCTTTTCCGATTTTTCCTTATTTGTTTTATTTTTCAAATTTTCGTGGTTACGATGACACTGCAAAAATTTTCCTCAAATGCCCAAATCATCACTTAATTCTTCATTCTGCTTTGTGGAGTCCACAAAAATCTAACCTTTTTCAAGTACTAAAGTCCTCCGTCCCATTAAAGCCCTTTTCTTGCTTTTTATGTACGTACCGTGGTAATGCTATATTAATTGTCATCGGAAATGGAACAGAAAATCTATGATCCTAAGTTTTGAGTAAAGCCGGAGGAGGAGATTGCGGTGAAGATTTCAGAGTGGTTCTTCGATGCCAACGAGGATTTTCTTAGGATGATTCAATAATGAGAAAAAAGATTCGTATAATGATGTTAATGATGGAGATATCTTCAAACAATCACTTTGAAGTTATTAATGAGGAACGGAGAACAAAGTTGAGTTGATCTCGTTCAAAATATAAGGGGCAAACTTCGCACACTCTCTTAACATGCCATTTTAGATGAAAATTGTCATCGGGGACTAAATATACTAATTAATATAAGGTTAAGGGTAAGAATGCAACAAAAAATTAAAAACAAAAGCGAGACAATGTGAAAAGGTTAAGAATCTTTACTGCAACTAAAATGGTCTGTAACAACAAAATTTTGTGGAGATAATAATTTTCATTTGAATAATCATATTCACGCTACAATTTTTATTTCTTGGACGAGATTTTAATTGTACTTAAAGTTAACCCATTTTATATTTGTTAACAATTTTATATCCAAAAGTTCATTGAAGTAGCTTACAATTTATTTTTTCATCATTTAAAAAAAAAAAAGTGCAAAAATATTTTCTCTCATTTCAAAATATGAAAACAGAATATATTGATATAAATTATCATCAAGGACAAGATGTACTAATTAATGAAAGGTTGAAAATAAGAACTCGACGAAAAAAAAAGTTAAGAAAATAATTGCTACGATGAGTAAAGATAGAGAAAATTAACTACAATTAAAATGTGATGTATCAAATAAAAATTGTGGTGACAATATATCATTTTCATTTAGGTTTTAAGTAGAATATTACTTCAAATTCCAATTTTAACCTTGCAATTATGTAAAATTTTGTCTCTTTAGTTGATTTAATTGGGGCATGTGTCCTTGGGCTTTATGCCTTTATAGGGTGACTTTGCTTTATGGAAAAAGAGATGCATAAAGTTAGAGAAAGGGTATCCTTATCTATTAATAACAATAGTAACAACCCTAGTCTAGTCCCATTTTAACGATAGTGTGACATCTCGTTGTCAATGAAAAAAGAAAATCGAAAACCTCTCCATTCTTTTTTTGACTCACACATTTTCCTTTCTTTTTAAAGAATAAATGAGTCCCAAATAAATTATTCAAATGATAATTAACACATTATATTTTTACATTTCACAATTATTGCGAAAAACGTCACTTTCATTTTTTGACATTTTTCACCCTTAATTACACATTTGATGGTGCAAACTATCATTTTTACCTATTTTCATCCAATTTCTCAATGAAGAGTTATGAAATGATGAATGTACCTCATTCTTTAAATAAAAAAGCTAAATAATTAATTACAATTATGGCCCCAAATTTTTTTTAAAGTACAAATGTATCTAAAATAAATTATTAAAAAATTAGAAATTAGTTTTTTTTAAAAAGCACAAACGGGTCCCAAATGAATTATTAAAAATTAAAATAAATAGATTTTCTTTAATTTTATTTTTTAAAAAAATATGAGAGTGTATTCATCATTTCATAACTTTTTATTGAAAAATTGGATGAAATGGATAGAATCATAGAAATGATGGTTTGCGCAATCAAGGCTCCGTTTGGAAGCCATTCTTCTTCAAATAATACATTTTATCTTTCACATCAAGTGGGGTCCATAGAAAATGTGTGGTTAAAAAAGAAGGAAAAGTTATTGATGTGATGGAAAATATTATTTTATTGAAGAATGTGTGGTTAAAAATGAGTAGAAGAATGAGAATGAAAATTTTAATGGTTACCAACGGAGGCCAAATGTGTAATTAAGGGTGAAAATGCCAAAAACATTTAAAGGTGTGGATTTTTTTCACTATAATAGTGAAATGTATTGACACTATGTGCTAATTATTATTTTAATAATTTATTTGAGATTTATTTGCACTTTTTAAAAAAAATTGAGACTATGATTGCAATTAATTTTTTCTTTTTTCTTTTTGTTGACCTCGAAAAATTACCTAAGCACGAGGCCAACAAAATACTTCCATGTAAACTCCTTCCCTTACGTAGTAACATACCGTTAGTTGCTTGTGGCATTTTTCAGTGGGGTGGAAGTGATCACGAGCACTCCGACGGTCAAGCTAGTGAATTGGTAGATCAGAGTTGGGATGTCCGGTGATGGTGTTCACCAGAACGTGACTTTTTGGTGGTGATGTGTCTAGGGACGGATAATGTAAAAAGCTTGTACTCCTTTTTCTTTCTAGGGAGTAGGGACCCACCCTTCCTATAGTGCAATTGTGTGTATTTATATTGAGTGTTTGTAAAATTTTCACTAAAAATACTCATATGACAAAAATGCGTTTTTAATTTTATATTATAGATTTAACCTTGTTTTTTGAAAATGTATTTTCAGAAATACTAAATCAAACACATTTTCAATATTTTGAAAATTTGAAAACAGCAAACCAAACATACCCTTAATCAGTGGTGGAGCCAGCTTCTGGTAAGGGGACTTGACTGCACATGCTAGTTCCGCTAGAGTCTTTGTCGTCGGTCGAGAGGACAACCACAGTCACAGCAGAAAGAGGTTGAAGATGATTGAGTTTTTTGTTTTTAATTATGATTGTGGGGTTTTTTTTTAAGGCTCAATCAAATTCTCAGTCTTATATACACATTGAGTACGGAAGAGAAAAAATAGAAGATTGAGTCAAAAAAAAATGTTGGGATTCAAAGAGAGAGGGGCGAACCTGCAGCCATCCGTTGGGAAAATATTGGAGAATCAAAGTATATCAATCAAACCGAAGGCCCATATTTACACGATTTCCTTAAATCGAATTCGCCGCATCATCGGAGTGCAAGAGGTTTGATCGGTGTTCGATTCCCAGGATACAATCAGTTGTCGGTTCACGCAGAACTACGTTAATCGCCTACGAACTAACTGTGTTTATCTCTCAAAGAACTTTAGCAAATGAAGGAAAGGAACAAAACCGGAAAGAAGAAATTTGATGCTAGAAGTTTAGAAGAAAAGCTCGTATTTTTTTTTCTCTATTGAGAGCTCTTCTATTTATACACATAGAAGATGAGTCATCTTTTTAATACATTGAGTGAGGAGTTACTTGAATGAGGAGTTAAGTATTGAAGAAATGAGTTACTGATATTTTCATTTAATATTTCCAACAATCGCCCACATGAATGAAAATTTTGGATAACAAAGATTGAAGAGAGAAAGAGAGAGTAAAACGAATCAATCCTGCATAGGATAGGTAGCATTGAGTTTTGAACCAGTAAACCAGTAAATCTGATGCCTTGAACTGTTTCGTCATTTGTGTAAACCAAGACAATAGACCTCACACAGGACCATTCTAGACACATCTTAGTTCTCAATGTTGTGTTTGTTTTGGCTATAAACACGTCGCCTGGTTTTGCAAGTGTTTGTTCAAGGATGTATCATTCCCAATCCTTATAGAAGCGGCCCCACTTCACACTCACATAGGTAACCTCTTAACTCAGCATTTCACAACAAACGCTTAAGGGTCATTAAAAGCGTAGCTTAACCTGCATCTTCTAATCACTGTGAGCATTATAGGAATGAGCAGAATGAGAACCTTCTTAGTGATTTACACAGATATACATGGTTTAGTTGTCCCTTTGAACCTAGATTCTGGAATCTTCATTTAGCTAGGTTGGGTTTCCAGCATGATACCTTTCAACGTCATAGGCTGCAAGCCCATTCTCCTCGATACTTTTTCATCTAGCTCTCGAGTTAACCCTTTCGTTAGAGGATCCGCAATATTATCTTTTGACTTCACGTAGTCCAGAGTGATAATACTTTGTGAGAGTAGTTGTCGAATGGTATTATGTCGTCTTCGAATATGTCAAGACTTACCATTATACATATTGCTCTGTACCCTACCAATTGCTGATTGATTATCACAATAAACACAAATTACAGGCACAGGCTTTGACCATCTTGGAATATCCTCAATAAATTGGCGAACCCACTCAGCTTCTTCTGTTGCTTTATCCAAAGTTATGAACTCTGATTCCATTGTAGATCTTGCGATGCAAGTTTGTTTTGACGATTTCCAAGAGACAGCTGCACCACTAAGAGTGAAGACATATCCACTAGTAGATTTTGAATCTGACATATCTGATATCCAATTTGCATCAGCATACCCTTCGATTACTGCAGGGTATCTAGAATAATGTAATCCAAAATCACGAGTGTACCTCAAATAATGTAACACTCTGAAAATGGCTCTCCAGTGGATAACACATGGGTTACTCGTGTAGCGACTAATCTGCTAACTGAGTATGCTATATCCGGTCTCATACAAGTCATTAAATATATTAAACTCCCAATTATCCGAGAATATTCTAACTGTGACACACTATCAACAGTGTTCTTGGATAACAGGAGACTCAAATCTACTGGAGTTTAACATATTCTTAGTGACTTTGATAATCTTATCAGAGCTGCCGACAATGGGCATGTCATCGACGTACAGACACAATATGAC